ACTGCCATGTCTCCTCAAGTTGCTGGCAGGGCCGTGGGAAGTAGGGGTGCTGAGGGTGCTGCAGCACCCCCTGGTGGAGGACATAATTAAGTAAAGAGGCACACCTTTATAATTATTAGGATAAATAAAAACAGGTTTGAAATCATTCCAATGTATACTATAGGACAGTAAATCAAAAATATTGTTTAAAACTGGAGAGATTTAAAAATATGCATAAATAAATAAATGTTAACTGTTAAAATGAGATATAAATGAACCTCAAAAATAAAATAAGTTAGCCTACATTTATTTGTTATTGGCTATGGTAGGTTATCGGTTATGTTCACATACTTATTTGATTATTAAAATGTAAACCGATCTTTTTCATATGGGTGTTTAGAGTTGTATCCCCTAGATCAGTCTCTAGTAATTGGGCGCTCAAAGTGCACCAGATTGAAGCATTTTACTTTAAAATGTTAAATAAATCTTCCCGGGGGGGCACCCCCGGACCCCTCTATAGGATGTGAAGTCCACCCCCCAATTAAAACATGTTCATGCAATACTAAATATATTTGAAGCCTTTTTATATAAGCTGTCCACCATATCAATATGTTTCTCTTTTTGTAGTGTATTGGTCTTTTGTAGAGGTTTTTCATTACCAGCTAAAATCTTGCCTAGGGCAGCAAATTGGTCAAAACCGGCCCTGGTGTCATCCCCACAGCACCCCCCATTTGAAACATGTTCCCACGGCTATGGATAGTTGTGTGCAATTCCCAACCTTGTATAGGCCGTTTCATACACTCTACTATAGCTCAGAAAACAAACACAACATAGTATCCTTAAAAAGCGAGGGTAAACAAATCCCAAACAAAAGTAGATTAAAGTGCGAAACAATTGTGTAGAGGTCTACGAGAAAATCACCCCCGTGTTGATTAGTTAGTGATTGTTTTGAGTCCAACGTGTTCATTGTAATGCAGGAACCAGTTTGTTTATTGGTTGCTTTTCACGGATCATTAACGTGTTTGTGTTGAGTTATTTTATATTGTATAGAAGTCTATGAGGAAATGACACCACTTCTCACTTGGGTAATTAACTAATTGAACATTTCCCTGATGAGTTAGCGGTCTCAATCTCTCGTGGTTTGTCGTGTTTTGAGTCCAAATGGTCTCTTTTTTTGCAGAAAGAAGTAACTTTATCTATGTTTCTGTGTGTTTTGGTTTACTTGGGTTGTCTTCACAAAGCGTGTGATGTGAGGCTGTTCTGCAGAGTCATTCAAGCAGAGGTGGAGAGCTTTTTTTGGTGACGTTTGTTGAAATGATGATAAATGACCTATATAGAGAAAGATTACCTCAATTCCCATCCTCTATTTAGGCCAGGTGCCGGAGAGCACATGATAAATGAAAACAGTCTTCACACACTGCAGCAGGGATTATTCCATTGAGCACAAAGGCAGTGACGATGGATGGTGATCAGATCAGTTCTTCCACAGCAAACTAAAAAACCCTTTCTAAAAAAACACTTGGTAAAAAAACACTTGGTAAAAAAACACTTGGTAAAGTCGTTTTATTACAAGGATTTATACAACACGGAAAAAGTATAAAAACGGGCAAAAAGACGTCCTTTTGTATAGAAGTCTACGAGAAAATCATACTTCTAACTTGACTTATTACCTCAGTCCACGTGTTCCTGATGAGTTTATGGTCTTTAAGTCTTCTTCAATACAGCATGAAGGTGGTCCAGATAAGAAGTACTTTCTTGATCCCAGTTTGTGAAATGTTTGAGTTGCAGCAGCATAAAAAGACAAGGCATTGAACAATACAAATTAAAAGACAAGAAATAAACAAGAAAGTAGAAAATATACATGTTGAATTTACAAATTAACAATAACAAGATACAAAGCAAGGTATTATATTTACAAAAGTATGTGACGGATGTAATATTAAATATGAAACTGAATATATAAAGGTAAGATGTACCGTGTGATTTTACTCCAAGAGAAACTATGGAGCAGTAATTAAGTAAATATGGTTTCATTCAGATTCAAACTGAGTGAATCTCATCCTGTGACCTCCACTGAGAACCTCATGTTCCCTTTGTTTTCTGGGGGTAGCCATCTTTGTTTTTGTGCATCACCATCTTGATATGGAGCTGTCTCCATCTTGGTGTCTAAAGTGTGTCTCCCCTCTAGTTTAAGGACGTCTTAGTTGTGGGCCATCTTTGTTTTGGTTGTTGCCCTCTTTGTATTTAGCCGTCAACATCCAACTAGCAGACAATTGTGATCGTTTTTCTTTTTGTCATCATTCATGTTTTTTACTTGTTTGTTTTGGCGTTGTGATCTTGATTGTTGGACTTCACCATCCTTGTTTCTGGACGTCACTATCCTTGTGTTAGGATGTCCCTATCTAGGTTTTTGGAGGTTGCAAATCCTTGTTTATGGACATAGACAGGTTGGTTTCATACGTTTCGTGTATTTCGTCCTGAGAAGCTCATGTTTCTAGTTTGGTTTGATTTTATATTTGGTTGTTTACCTCAATAAACGTTTGGCTGAAGAGTTTATGGTCTTTAAGTCTTCTTCAATACAGCATGATGTTAATTAAATATATATTAAATATGGTTTCATTCAGATTAAAATAGATTTAATATCTAGTGAGTGTCGTCCGTTTACCTCCACTGGGATGCTTACCTTTCCAGTTTGGTTCGTCAGTATGTTTAGTTGTTTATCAGCAGGATTACAGGAAACCTCCTGTCCTGATCGTCTTTAAACTTAGTAGAAAGGTGAAGCATGGACTAAGGAAGACTCCATTAGAAGTGGGTCTGAAATAATCAACCTGTAACAAACATTATTTTCCTTTGCGAGAGAGGCAATTTGGCGATCGCTACGCCCTTACGTTCCCTTCTAGTTCGGTTTCCAGCTTCTGTCACAATAATGTAGACAAACCCAGTCGCTAATCACCTTCTCTAACAGCTTTCCACAGTCAAAGGAGAAATGTCCTTCCCTGTAATTAACCATGGACATTCTGCCAGTGTGTGTTCATCCATCACTCGGAGCATCACAATTAACCACAGGTCGGAGGTGAAGTGGGAGAAAACGTGTGAAGGGCGGAAAAGACGAGTTTTCTTCATCTGGTTTTCCTACAGTCCTGTTTCTGTCTATTGTACGTCACTATGTCCCCAATAGAAAAGGTACAAATCTGATTTAGTTTAAGAAGAGATAAACTTTTAATTATCCCAACAGGTGTCAAAGTATCAACAGCAGTAACAAGAACACAAACGTCAGTTACAGCATAAATACAAATAACAACAGGAGCGATTTGGTAAAACACTGAATATCAGCCTTTGTTTATTTCTAGAAAGCTTTTGAGCAGAGAGGCAATTTTGAGACAATCTGTTGAAAGCAATGCATGCTGGGACACCGCAACAACAAATTGAAGATGCATGAGTCAGAGTCCCTTTGTATAATTAGACTGAAGCTTAATTGGGAAAATGTAATCGTTTGTAGTTGACATGATAACGATCTCGTGTAAAGACCTCATTTTACGGATATCTAGAAAATCCAAAAGGCTCCTTCACCATCGCTCTCAGTCCATCTCTCACACACACACACAGACAGACAGACAGACAGACAGACAGACAGACAGACACACACACAGACACACAGACACACACACAGACAGACAGACAGACACACACACAGACACACACACACAGGCAGACAGGCAGACAGACAGGCAGACAGACAGACAGACAGACAGACAGACAGACACACACACAGACAGACAGACAGACACACACAGACACACACACACAGGCAGACAGGCAGACAGACAGGCAGACAGACAGACAGACAGACAGACAGACAGACAGACAGACAGACAGACAGGCAGAGCAGCAGCATAAAAAACAAGGCAATGTTCATAAGAGAAATTAAGGCACAAGAAATAAACGGTCCAAAATATTTCTGAAATAGAAATAAAATAGCATTAAAAAGTAAAAAAGAAAAATATATATATACGTGGATGTGGAAAATATACATGTGGAAATACACATTTCCAGTAACAAATATAATGCAGCATATTATTGTACAAGAAATTGATTATTCAATATTAAATTGAAAGTAAACGTATCATGTACAGTGGGAGTTTAAGTCCAGCTATGTACACATGACAATAAAAGCCTTGAATCTTGAATCACTGATTGTCTCTTTGTGTTTTCGCAGCACAACCCCACCGGCCGCTCCCCCCCCATCCTGAAGGAGATGATCCAGATGGCCGCAGAGATCGCAGACGGGATGGCTTACCTCAACGCCAAGAAGTTTGTCCACAGAGACCTGGCAGCCAGGAACTGCATGGTGGGCGAGGACTTCACCGTCAAGATCGGAGGTACGGAGAGACCCCCTGATCTGTCTGTTGGTCTGACTGTAATCACAACTACCACAAAAAAGACTGGCCCTATTCCCATCAAACTTAGTGGAAGGGTGTAGCGTGGACCACAAGGAAGAACTAAATATATTTTTTAAGGCTTAGTTATATAACATGTATGATAAATGCTGATTTTTCAGTTTGGAAGATAGGGTGTTTGTGCTGTGAAATTGAAATAATTGGGAAAATGAGTAGAAACATTGTGTTGTTTTAACTATGAGCATTAAAACACATTTTCGTATTAGTGTCCATGTTGTTTCTACATTTAAAGAATAACATCAAAACTTGGGAAATGCGACCGTTGAGCCTTTCTATCGTTTGTTTTGTTTTGCTTGTTGTTCCTTCTGCGATACCAGTTA